TGCTGGCAATTGCCTGGCATATTTGTATCCAAAGACTGAACCCCAAGTGCAGCAGTGCATTGTTTTAATCCCCCTCCCATTGCATGTTAGTTCCTTTGTCTTCCTTATCTATTAACTTGCATGTTAATTAGATATTCTGTACATTAAAATTTCAACAAAATGGCAACAGTGTTATGCATAACAGAGTTTCCCCGGAGTCTGCCTGTGCACTGAATGTTCCATGCTGTCTCTCTTTGTTCTGAGGGTGCATGTGCACATAGCTATTCAGCATGTAATGTCGCTCTCTCCCTGTCCCTGAAGAACCCTTATCACAACTTAACACTCATAACTGATGCTGCCTAAACCCAGCTGAATTCTTAATTTGGGGAAAAACTCTCAAACTCTACTGAGCACCACTGCATGGATCTAAGAGAATACCAAGCCAAGATCAGGCCCAACCTTAGGAAAATTCCCTTCTCAACAGGCCTTATAATCTTTGTAGATGGGTCCTCCTGAATTACTCAAGGAAAAAGACATAATGGATATTGTGTAGTAGATGGAATATAATAATTATTATAATAGAGTCAGGAAGGCTACCCAACAGGTGGTTCACCCAGACCTGTGAAGTACTTGCTCTTATCAAGCCCTAAAATTTCTGAAAGGAAAGAGGGAACTATCTACACAGATTTGAAATATGCCTTTGGAGTTGTCCACACTTTTGTAAAAATTTGGATTGAACACAGCTTAATTAATAGTAAGGGAAAAGATTTAATAAATAAAGAATTAGTTACTCAAGTATTGGAAAGCCTATTATTACCAGAAAAGATAGCTATTGAACTTATGCCAAGACATCAAAGGAGCTATAACATAGAGGCCAAGGCAATAAACTAGCAGATGAAGCAGTTAAAGAGGCTGCCCTCCAATCAGACACCTGTATTTTTCATTTCACCTGTGGACAGCACTGATTTGAATCATGGTCTGAGTTGTGCTTGGAAATGCCTGTGCAAAGGTGCAGGTCAAGATGGCCCAGTTGCTAGCTCAAGGAAACTCTTTGCAAAGGCTCAGAGTTATCAGTTAGAACTTTGAGTTCACCAACTCCCAGGCATAGAGGATTCTGAGAAAACAAGATGACCCTAATGTATCACCAGTCCTGCATCCTTCAGATTGCCTGCTTTGCTGAAACTTTCCCACAAATTACCTGTCAAGGAAACCTATACAATAAACGTGCTGAGCTAGTTCTGGGTCATTTATCCCTCATCAAGGGATGATGAAGCTGGCCCTACCCTTTTGCCTCTATGTGTGTCTGTTTGTCTTTTCTTCATCCCCCATTGACTCTCATCCGATATCTCCTTAATTAATGACTGCGACTAAGAGAGAGAGATGAGAGGGCTAATGCATTTACCCCTGTTTTATCCCCTTTCCCAATTATCCCAATATTCAGCCCACAGGAGGAGAAACAAAATAAAGCTGGGAGCCCCCAAAGCCCCCAAGGAAAATGGCTTTTATCCAATGGTAGAGAGATGCTCATAAAGCCTCTTATGAGGGAAATGATGCGTACCTTTTGATGCATAAAGGTAGTTCCTGAGACCTACAAGCCATGTTTGATGCTATATTAAGAATATATGGGGCTGAGACTGTGGCTCAGTGGTAGAACACTTCCCTAGCATGTGTGAGGCACTGGGTTCAATCCTTAGCACCACATAAAAATAAATAATAAAATAAAGGCATTCTGTCCATCTATAACTACACAAACTTAAAATAAAAGAATATATGGGTGCATGGAATTTATTCTGTAGCCAAGTAAGTCAACAAAAGCTATATTACTTATACAAGAGCTAATGAACAGGCTTTGAGAAAACAGCCCCTAGGAGGGAGGAACCCTGGATTAAGACCTTTCCAAAGCATCCAGATTGACTATACTGAAATGCCCAAAATAGACCATTTAAAATCCTTGTTGATAACAGTGGATCATTTTACCAATTGGGTAGAAGCTATCCCCCTGCCCAGTACTAATGCCAACAATGTGACCAAGGTCTTATCGGAATCTATAATCCCTCAGTTTGGTTTGATAGAAAAAATTGATTCAGATAATGGAAGCCACTTTAGGGCAACCATTATTAAAGAACGCATGACAATATTAAACATAAAATGGGAATATCACATTCGCTGGTACCCACCTTACTCAGGAAAGGTGGAAAAAATGATCCAAACTCTAAAGAGACAAATCACTAAGTTAATATTAGGAACAAAACTCCCCTGGACTAAGTGCCTCCCCATTGCTCTTCTTCAAATTAGAATGGCTCCATGAAAAGATGTAGGGTTAACCCCATATGAAGTGTTGTATGGGTTACCATATTTAGGAAAAACAATGGGTTTCCCCACCTTTGAAACAAAGGATCAATTTCTGAAAAATTGTATATTAGGTCTGTCTTCTACTTTATCATCCCTGCAATAACAGAGGCTCCTGGCATAGATACCACTTCTGGAATTCCCTGTACACCCACATTGACCAGGTGACTACATCCTGATCCAAGTTTAGATGGAAAACAAACTGGTCCCTGCTTGGGATGGGCCCTAGGAAGTCCTGCTCACGACTGATCCAGCTCTTCAGACCACAGAGCCAGGTTGTCCTCACTACACATGAGTAAAGGGAGCCTCCTCACCTTTTAATAGGGAGGAACACTGGTCCTCAGTCCAATATCTAGATTCCACCAAATTTGCTGTGAAAAGACTCTAATAATGTCCATAGTGATATGGAAAATGGCATCCTATAACTTGATCATTAATGTAATCCAGACTACCTCCCCTCTGGTTGTTACATTGGATGTCTGTGGAGATTTACACATTCAGGGGCAATTATCTGGGACAAACAGATACTGTTATTCAGCATATTCTAGAGAAATAAATCTCTGGAAATATGTTACCAAGGTTATTTTAGAAGTAAAGGATTTACAACAAACTCTTAAAATAGATTTTGAGTACTCTGAGACCAATGCCTGGGTGGAAGGGTTTAAATATTCTGTTTACACATTAAATAAAAGCAAATTTTAATGCTTGTGCAAGTTAACACAAGCTCAAGTGGTCCCATTCCCACTTGGCTGGACCTCAGACCTCTGGCCATGAGTTGTATGATATCCCTCTTTCAGGAAAAAGAGGGGAAACAGCTTGGGGAAATAACTCTTGCAAGACCTTGTGGTTGTTGTTCTCAGCAGTTAAGGGCTAAAGATTCCAACTTCTTTCCCTTGGAACCACTCATACCTCTTGTCTCTCTTGGGGGCACAGAGGGAGGAACAATTTGCCTTCTTGGGAAATACATCTGGATGCAATTAAAGATGGTCCTTTGAGGAGATATCTAATCAAAAAGCACTTGCTATAGGCACAGCCAGTGTCTGGTGGTATTGTGGAGGGCTATTACTTGAGACCTTATCTATCTGACAATTGGAATAGAACCTGAACTTTTATTCAATTGGCTATCCCTTTCCCCCAGCATTTCTCAGATCAAAGCAATCCCAGTTCTTTGAGAAGAAGAGAGATCTCTCTTCCCTGGGGTCAATTCCTTGAGAGGTTGGTTCCTAATGAGTTCAAAGACGGAAATCAGACAACAGCAAGTTTTGAAACAATTTTCTTTTGGTGGTCTTCTATAAATAAGAGGGTAAATTGGATTAATTACATTGATTATTATCAACAAAGGGTTATTATACAAGAGAATTTCTCAAAGAAATTACAAAAAATAGATGCTACTAATAGGATGATATGGAAAGAACTAATCACATTTATTATTATTCCATTGATTGTTGAATTGGGAGTAATGACTTACAGTTAGATATTGCCCAATTCCATGTATGGGAGGACTTGTTCAACCATTGACAGAGTTCTCACCAAACAAAGTCTAGTCATATATCAAAATAACCTTCCTATGTTAGATACAGTTCAACATGAAAGTCAAAAGATGTCATCCAAATTTGAAGAAAAGGATTTAGATGGATCATATAAGAGGAGGAAACTGTAAGATTTATGTTTTCTTTTCTATCAAAGTTAAACCTGTAATGCAACACAGGCGTGTTTACAGTAACTTGGAGGTTTCAAGGGTATGAAAGAGCCATCTTAAGTTAGAGAACCATGTGGTCAAAATGGAGCCATCTTAAATGAGAGAATCATGTGAGCAGAAGAGAGTCATCTTAAATTTGGGGATCATATGACCAGAATGGAGCCATTTTTAAATTTTTCTAACAGGTGTCCGATCACACTGTAGCCCTTTTCAGTGCCACCTATTTTTAAAATTAGCTAATCGAGTAATTGTATTCTCCCACCCCAACTCTTCCCATCCGTTGCCAGGGGCAGCACCTCGGCTGCCCGCCCAGGGGTTGCATTGCAGGTTGGATCCCCTTTGGAGCGCACCCTTCTGCAGAAGTGCATTTGCGCCTTTTGGACCCACTTACGATTGATTGATTTCTTGTGGCACCTTGTTATTTCTATCATTACCAAGGGCGAACAGGCTGTGTGTTTTCAGTCTGTTAGGTATTTATTGATATGCCAAGGTCTTAACCCACGCGTTATTTTGTCCCAATTTTAGAGACTCATATGCAGCACTCTCTTCTACAGGACCGCACCTAGCACCACAACACGAAGCAGCCTTCCCGGGTACTTCTCGCCCGGCAACTGCAGTGGGTGCAGAGCGCTGATGGGCGCGGAGTGTCCACAAGGACAAAATTCAAAGAGGCTGACGTGGCTTCGGAGCAGACACGCGAAGGGGACACTTTGGGCCCCGCTTCTACCTGGTGCTATAGGCAAAGAGTCCAGAGGCAGGTAGCCTCAACAGCGAAGGGAGGGTCTCAACTATTCCTAGACTCTGGGTAGAGACCACTCACACTATCAGCCTCCTTTATCGCGCTTCCCGGGTCCCGCCCTCGGGATGGATCGCAAGAGCCACAGTCCGCACAGCCCCGCCCGCACCTCGTCCCCGCCCGGCCCGGGCGGTTGTTGTGTACAAGTTCTCCGGGTGCGGTCTCCAGCCCGGGAAGATGTTGGCTGCGGCTGCAGCAGCTGAGACGATGGCAGCGCCTGCGGGCAGCAAGGGATGGAGGCAGCGGGACCCGGACGTAATCGGGACCGGGAGACTGAGGTCTGGGTTCGGTCTCCCAAGGCTCCTGGTGGTGCTCCCGCCGCTGCTGCTGCTCCTGCTGCTCCCGCTGTTGCTACTCTTGCTGCTGCCCCGAGAGGCTGGGGCGGCGGCGGCGACAGGATCAGGCTCACTTGTATCCGAGGCCAAGAAATGTGATCAGCCCTGTGTCAACGGCGGCCGCTGTGACCCTGGCACCGGCCAGTGCATCTGCCCCGCCGGCTGGGTGGGCGAGCAATGCCAGCACTGCGGGGGCCGCCTCAAGTGAGTGGGGATGGTGTTGGAGGGTTGGTGGGGAGACTGGGGGCGAGAGGTGCTTAAGACTCCTACAGCCCAGAGATGGATGCGGGACAGAAAGTCGGGAGAGGGGGTGCCCCAGCTCCATTTGATGGTCATTTGCTTCCGGGAAGATCACCATCTCTGGCTTGTTTTTTTCCTGTGGCGGAAGGTGAAAAGGTGCAAGGCAGTAGTGGTGGTGCCCCCAAAGTTTTTGGGTGCTGTGGGTTAAATTGGAAGAATGCTTTGGATTCCAAAGACTATCAGAGCTAGTTTTGGAAACAGCCTATTTTTTAAAAAATTTCTTTGGTTAGAGGTGGACACAACGTCATTATTTTACTTTATGTGGTGCTGAGGATCGAACCCAGTGCCCCACGCATGCTAGGCGAGTGCTTTGCCTCTGAGCCCCAGCCCCAGCCCAACAGCCTATTTTTGATAAATGAGATATCAAGAAAAAGGTGAGTGAGCCAGTTCTTAACCAAATACTTCATTTGAACCTTCCCTTTTTCTCTAGATCCTAATAAGTTCCCCAACTGCGGAGGTGTGGGATGCTCTGAGGAAGCGAGGCCCCTGGAGTGATGTATTGGTGGAGATATAAAGGAAAGGGTAGGCGTGAGATTTTAGGGATAGAAGACTAAGTGGTTGTTGACTGAAGGAAAGTGAAGAAGCTAGCCTTTGGAAGCTCACTGGCCAATGGCATATTAGAACAGGGTCTGTCCTGGAGAGGGGATGGAAAGCTGTTCCTGTTTACTCTGGTTTCTGAACATATGGAGTTCCTGCATTGGCTTGGATTGAGGCAGTACCCCTTGAAAGATCACTCACTAATTAATTAACAGTTGTGTATTATTTGTTTCAGTTGTGCAAGGATTTCTGGATATGGCACACAAATAGAGTAGTCAGACTTTGGCCTAGTCCCCAAGGAGTTTGGAAATAGAAAGAGGAAGATCCATACACAAAAGTCATGAGAACTATAGTCATTCAAGCTTTTGGCAGCTATTTACTGAATACTTTCCCCATCTGACCTGAGGGAGTAAAGAACTGTGGTGAGCAAGATAGGGTTCTGCTCTCAAGGACCTTCCATTTTAATATGGGTGACAAGCAGTTAACAAGTAAATAAACAAGTGAAAGAAATGACAAGGTTATTTCAGCTCCTGGTGAATGTTATCACCAAAATAAAAACAGGTCGGTCTGATAGAGAATTATAACCATCCAGTGAGTTTAGAGGCTGCTCATTTGATATGCCATTTGATCTGAGACCTGAATGAGGCACTGGAGAACCTGTGAAAATTCAGGGGTGGAGGGGTTGTGACTAGCTGGGGCCTATAAAGAAGAGAGACTTGAAGGAGGAGGTAATACTGGATTTGAGCATTTGAGGCTAAGTAGGATTTGGAAATGTGGAGCTAGGGGAAAAATTCCTAAATGAAAGGAAGGATGAAGACAGAGTTGTGGAGACAAGATTTGCTGGTGCCTCTGTAGAAGAGAATCGTGAGGGAGAACTTTGGAATGATAAAATCATGGAATAACATCTTCTAGGGAACTCAGAGAATATGGAGCAGATGAGATCTTCAGTTTAATGGATACAGAAACCAAGTGACTTCAGGACCAGTGTGTAGTGGGCTGCTTTTATAACTTATTTAGGATGTTCTGATTTATGAATTCTGTTAATCTGCACATATTTGTTGAGGGCTCCTCCGTTTTCTCTCTCTCTCTCTCTCTCTCTCTCTCTCTCTCTCTCTCTCTCTCTTTCACCCAGGGGTACTTTACCACTGAGCTACATCCCCAGCCCTTTCTATTTTATTCTTTAATTTTGAGACAGTATCTTGCTGAGTTGCTTAGGTTGGCCCCTTAAATTTGGGATTGTTCTGCCTCAGCCTCCCAAGTAGCTGGGATTACAGGTATGTGCCACTACACCTGGTGGCTCCTCTGTTTTAGGTTGTGAGATAGAGTGGCAAACAAGTCAGATACAGTTCTGCTCTTGTGGAGCTTACCTTCCAGTTTGGGAATAAAAAAATTCAACAGTTAATCTATAGTAATTTTGCTTAAGGCTGTGGAGGTGAAGAGCAGGGGACCTCTGAGTTAGTTGGAAGGGGGTGAGGTTAGTCGCTGGGTAAATGAGAGTTGAAGGGTGAGGTGGTCCTACTACCTGAAGGGTGGGGTGCTGAGAGGTCACCATGTCCAGAGTCTTGGGGGTGAGTGGGATCATGGCAATGTGACAAGATGACTGGAGCAGAGAGAGCAGAGGGGAGCATGACAAGACTGGACAGACTGCAGAGCCAGGCCTAGTGGAGACCTGTTAGTCAGGTTGAGAATTTTGACCTTTAGCTCCAGAACTGTGTGATGGCATAGTTCACTTTTGTTTTTGTGTTATTATGGGCTATTAGATTATAGTTAGAGCAGGAATAGCTTTGAAGGTGAGGCCAGGGCATTTTGAATATGAGGTACTTCCAAGATCAAGTGAATGGTTGATTGAGTTCAATGAGGATCCTTAGAGTTCTGAAAATTTGGGACACTGTGGTAGGCAGTGGGATCCCCAGAGTGGGAAGGGACATTTGTAGCAAAGTCAATCTGTCTGTAATATTCAGAGTAGGTGGACTTACTGGGCATAAGAGGCTAAGTGGGTTTCTAAGTAGAGTCTGTTAGCATGAATCGGGACATCAGTATGAAAGTCTGAGGTAGGCAGTCTGATTAGAGGCAGGGCTAGATGCTGTGTGGTGTTGCAGAGGTAAAATGGACAGGCCTTTTTTTGAAACTGGTTTTCTCTTGGGAAGAGGGAGGATTATGGTGAGGGAAACAAAACTAGATCCTTATCTTGAGTGATTCAGTGATATTATTAACAGACCCGGGGACCCAGGAGAGGCTGATTTTGAGATAAGTTAAATTTTGTACATACTGAGTTTGATGTACTCTCAGAATATGTACATGGCACACATAAGCATTGGAGTCATCTACCTATGAGGGGTATTACCAGGGAAAGAGACCCGTCTAGTGTCTACATGGACAGTCCAGAGGATTAGAGAAGAACTGCTTATAATGGGGAATAGACACTCTTGACGCTTATTGTCTCAAATGGTATCAATGTAAGTGAAGGGCTTCCCTAGTTCCCTAGCTCTCCTTCGAGCTGGTTCTAGCTGATGTGAGTGCTTTTTCATGGGCAAATAATTTCAACTGGTCTTGATGATACCATTATATTAAATGCTTTCTGGAATTTACATTTTTAAAAATGAAAGCAGGAGGAAGTCTTTAAAAAAGATCTTTTACTTGATATTTTGGAGTGGAGAGTTAAGTGTTGGTTTTGATTTAACTTATAAATTTCTTTGTTATTAAACTAACAGATGTTAAATGAATATACTTCTGGTTTACAATAGCATCAAGTCATTTTTCCAAAAAAAATTTTTAGTTGTAGATGGACACAATACCTTTTTTAAAAAAATTATTTAGTTTTATGTGGTGCTGAGAATTGAACTCAGTGCCTCACACAATCCCAGCCCAAGTCATTTGTCTTTTAAACTTTTAATTTGTATATATCCTGTGTTATAATTTCTGTTATAGCTCTGTTTCTTTTTTTTTCCTCTTTTTTTTTTTTTTGTGGCACTGCAGATTGACCTGGGGGTTTCTCTACCCCTGAGTAACGTTCCCAGCTTCCCATTTTATTGTTGAACTTTAAGACTGGCCTTGAACTTATGATCCTTTGACCTCAGGCTCTGAATAGCTGGGATTATAGGCATGTGCCAGATTTGGCAAGAGAAGTGAACCTACGGATTCAATAGTGTAGGTGAACCCCAAATAGTATAAATGCAAAGAAACAAATGCCAAGACACACCAGAGTCCCACTTCTGAAAACTAATGACAAAAAAAGTTTTGAAGTTAGTGAGAAAATACTGACACATTAATTACATGGACAAAGTGATTCAAAGGACAACAGATTTCTCACACCAAACTATGGTTGCTAGAAGGAAGTGGCACAGCCTTCTTCAAACGCTGAAAGAAAAGAACAGTGTTTACGTCACCTTAGAATTCTGTGTCCAATGAAAATATCTTTAAAATTTTTTTTTTAGTTGTAGATGGACACATACCTTTATTTTGTTTATTTATTTTTATGTGGTGCTGAGGATTGAACCCAGTGCCTCACACATGTGAGGCAAGTACTCTACCACTGAGCCACAACCTCAGCCCCCTGAAAATATTTTTTAAGAAAGAAGATATTGGTGGCTCAAGCTTGCAATCCCAACTACTAGAGAGACTAAGGCAGGAGGATCATAAGTTTAAGGCCAGTCTGGGCAATGTAGTGAGATCCTGTATCAAAATAAAATGAAAAAGCACTGTATATAGTTCAGTGGAAGTGCTTGCCTAGCACACAAAGAGGCATTGAGTGCAATCCCTTGTCCTGAAACAACAACAACAACAACAAAATAAATAAAAAAGAAAAAGAAAAGAAAGAAAAGAAAAAGAAAAAAAGGAGCAAATATTCATATAATTAGAATTTCAGAGGAAAAGGAGAATGAGTATTTGAAAGAAATAATGGCAAAAGAAACCAACCTGAAGACATAAGGAGCTGTGAAAGCCCCATAAACGATAAAGCTCAGTGAAATCCATGCTAAGATGCATCATAATTAAACTATTAAATTATAAAGGCAAAGAAACTATCTTAAAAGCAGGCAGAAAGAAATGAAGCATTGCCTATAGGGAATACCAATTCAGATGACAGTAAATTTCTCATCTGAAATCAGGGGAGCCAGAAGGAAGTGGGATAAGAGGTCAATCTCAAATTCTGTTTCTGTTGAAACTGTTGCTTAGGAGGTAAAGGGAAATAAAACATTCTTAGATGATGGAAAGGTAAAAGATTTGTTGCTAGCATACTTAACCATTAAAGATTACTAAAGGAAGTTTTTTAATCAGAAAGAAAATGATAAAGGAAGGAACAATGGAACAACCGAAAGGAAGATAGAACAGTGGGGGAACAGAAATAAGAGTTTATTTAATAATAATAATAGGTTCTCCTTTCCTTCTAAGTCTTAGCAATCATATTTGATGATTGAATAAAAATACAAGACTATCGGGTACTAAAGATGATATTTATATGAAGACAAAGCACCTAAATAGAAGTGAAGTTTCCATACTTCACTCAAAGTGGTGAAATGTTACTAGTAAATAGATTATTATAAAGCACATGTTTACATTATAGTAATGACCTAAACAACTATGAAAAGAAGATAAAAACAATAAAAATAAATCAATATGGAATCTGTGATGGTTAGTTGTAATCAACCCAGAACATGACTGGGTTAAGTGATACCCAGAAGATATAATGATATAGTTCAGTGGTTGAGCTAGACTAAATAAGGAAAATCTGACCTCACCTAGTGCAAGGGGAATTTTATTGCTTTCCTGGAGCTGGAAATCCATCTTCTTCTGCTCTTGAACATAGAACTCCAGATTCTCTGATCTTCAGATTCTAGGACTTGACAAGTTCCCCACCAGGTTTTCAGGTCTTTGGCCTTTGAGAGTTATTCCATCAGCTTTTCTGCTTTTCAGTTCTTTGGAGTTGAACTGAGCTATGCCACTGCTTCCCTGATTATCTAGCTTGTAGATAGCTTATCATGGCACTTCGCAGTTTCCATAGTTGCAAGAGCTAATTTCCCTAGAAAACTTATATTGGCACCCCGTTCTCCACAGAAAATCTTAACTAAGCTTCTCCAGAAATCTTCACCATAATTGGTTTTAGGACTATCAGCAAAAGGGTCTGTACAAAAGAGTTCAGTGTAGTTAAACTTCCTATTTCCTGTTGCTCTGTCTTACTTGGCTACCAGTCTGGAAGAGTTCAGCACCTGGAGTGCTGAACGCCCCTTTACTAGTTTTTTACAGATATTTATCCAGTACAATAGTATGTAGAAGTGTGTTTGCAAATGCAAAGTGGGATTTTAAAAAAGATCCTTTAACAAGGTCTCTGGCCTTGAGCTGGGCTTCACAGAGATGTCTACATTTCTAATATAAGAGAAGTTACCAATTGGGCTTCATGGTAACAGCTGGCAGAGGGAGGAAAGAAAGGGGAGAAAAAGCTCTCGTCTTCTCAGGCTATGTCCTTGAAGGGTTAACTTGCCCAGAACAGTGAAAGAAAAAGCTGCTTTTGTGTGAACTTCTGCAGACTGTGAACTTCGGAGCCCCTCCCTTACATGAAGGGTATAAAGTTCTGAAACTGCCTGAATTCAGGGTTCAGGGGGATTGATTGATTACAGAGAAAGCTTTGCCCACTGAACCTGGCTAGAGCTAAATAAACCTGCTTCCTGTTCCTATTTGGTGTCTTGCCTCGTCTGTCCCCTGCAACAGACTCACTCCACATATCCTATTGGTTCTATTTCTCTGTAGAACCCCAGTACAGAATCCTAAAAAAAATGTTCACATGATCTGTACAAAGGCAAAGAGAAACAGGAGGAGAATTTAAATTTTGACATTATAAATAGCTAACTAAATGTAAAAGAGCAAAATACAATAAACAAAAGAGATTGACCAGACCCCATGATACACACCTATAATACCAGCTACTTGGATGGCTGAGGTAGGAAGATTGCAAGTTTGAGACTAGCCTTGGTAAGTAAGTGAGACCCTTTCTCAAAATAAAGAAGGTTTGGGAAATAAGACATGTAGATCTCTGTATCAGACAGACAAGCATAGCAGAGGGAGAAAAGGGCAAGGAAGTTGAGAGATTTGGAGGATATGATTCTTGTGATGGACCATGGAATCTTAACAAGGTAAGTGAGAAAGTGAAATGTGTTCATGGTGAATGATTAACAGTGAAGAAGTGGTAGTTCCATGTATTGACAGTCCCTATGAGCTGAAGACACATTGGAAAGAGGAACTAAGACACATTTGAGGAACTAAGTAAATGAACTGGAGAGATAAGAGACAGTGCTTAAAATGCATATATAGTATGTATTAATGTACCCAGTCTGCTCAATTTGCATTGTATTGAGAATTAAGAAAGATATTAGTGTCTGAATTCCTGATAGATTGATTTTTTAAAATTTAAATTACAGGCTAACTGGATCTTCTGGGTTTATAACAGATGGACCTGGTTATTATAAATATAAAATGAAGTGCACGTGGCTCATTGAAGGACAGTAAGTAGTAATGGCTGACTTCATTTTTTATTTTTATTTTTTAGAATAGAGCTCAGTGTGGCATTAATTTTCCAACAAATGACATTAACAAATTGTTGCTATTTTTTTTTCTTTTGTGGTGCTGGGGATTGAACCCAGGGCCTTGTGCATGCAAAGCAAGCACTCTACCAACTGAGCTATATCCCCAGACCCAGTAGCATAAATATTTAAAATATGTTTAATAATTTTCATTTGGCAAATGATTCTGATTCTGATTTTTAAATTTTCTTTCTCTTGCACTAGGATTTAACCCAGGGCCTTGTATTGCTAGGCAAGCACTCTCTCAGCACCTTAATTTTTATCATTATTATTTTTTTAAATTTCAGATTGATTTAAATTGCTGCAAATAAATTGTATGCACTATAAAATTGTATATTTTCAACTGTAATAGTTAAAAACCTGTTAAACTATTTTTAACAGTTTGCTTAAAACTTTATAAATTATAATATTTTGTAATTTTTCTAAATATCTGTTTTTATCATGGCAGAAAAATCAGAATAACCACTCTTGCCTTATTGTCCCTTCTCTGGACCTCTGGGTCCCTCCAGCTTTTCCTTCCTTTTTCTCCTTTCCTTCATGCAAAGGAGTATTTATCATGGAAGAAGTATTTCTCCTGGGAAGCAGTATTTCTCAAACTTTTAGTTGCAGGATCTCCTGACACTTTTCAACTTTGAGGATTCCAAATAAATGTCACTTTTAAGGGGGAAAAATCCTTATATTTAAAGGAATTTTTGTGAAAAGAGTGGCATTTTTTCCCATTTTACAAATCTCTTCAATGGGTACATCAGAACTTTTATGTTTTGCTTTGTCAAATATGGGATACTAAGCAGATTTAAATGTGGATGGGAAAGTCCCATATAAGAGGGAAATATTAAATATTTGAGAGATGTAAGGAGAAATGGGTTTATCTGTTTTGGGAAATGGTAATTTCATGGATTTTTGTCTAGGTGCAAAGCATAAACAGGAAGGTGAAATTGGAAGGTTTGAAATAGTCCCTGAAAATTAGTGATTGTGGAGAGGGAGAGGGAGATAGTGGTAGGACTGCTGGCAGAATCCAAGTGTCACGTGAAGTGCTGAGCAGAGATGGGTACTGGAAGCAGTCTGCCTGGTGGCAGGACTTCTTCAGTACAGCTCAGTTTTCTTTGGATTCAATCTAAGTCAAAGCTGATAAATGTTTTCCTGTAGACTTTTGCCAGGCAGTGCCACGAAGAGGCAGAGGGCAGGCAAGTTTAGAGAACTGACAGGGGTGTTTGTGAAATGAAGAGTGTGGAATCTGAAGTTGAATAAGAAAGGAAGTGCAAAGTGGAAGGGCTAATGCATTGGTCAAAGGCTGTTAAACACTGGCTGTCCCAGACTGCTAAATGGACTGCAAAGCCCCAGGCGTCATGGACCACATCTGTTTTGTTTCCCATTGCATGTTTAATGCCCTCTTGGACATAGCAAGTACTAAGTGAGTCTTTGACAAATGGAGGAATACTGTGTATATACTATTAATTTCTTTTCTCCTTGTAAATTCTTAAAAAGTTTCCACGGTGCTTAATGGTTATGACGATTATTGTAAATTACTGTTTTTGTTCTTTTCAGGCCAAATAGAAAAATGAGACTTCGTTTCAATCATTTTGCTACAGAGTGTAGTTGGGACCATTTATATGTTTATGACGGGGACTCAATTTATGCGCCACTAATTGCTGCCTTTAGGTAAGCTCAGTCATATAAATAGTTGGTCATCATTATTTTATTTTTGAATTTAAACCTATATCCTGTATTACATTCTTACTGGATTCACAGTTAATATCACATAACACATTCACTTCATGGAATGAGTGGTTCTGCAGTCCACTTGCTTGTGTGCTAGTCCTGACTAGGCTCCTTTGCCTACAGGGTCAGTTTCTGGGTGTAGTGCTTGATCTCTTCCATTTTGCTGATCTGTAAAGTTGTGACAGTATTATCAAGTTTACCTTCTCTTCATGGTGGGGGTGAAGTTTACCTTTTCAGAAAAAAATGTTTGAGTAATATGTTAAATATAACATTTTTTGTGAAAACTTAAATTGGAAACTATGCCCATCTTGTTCTTCTGTGTTATTACATAGGACTTCAGGAATTACTTGCTGAATTCACATATGATTGGTGGGTGGGTGTGTCAGTCTGCATTTGCATTTACGTATATGTATGTATATGTATTTATGTATGTGTTATAATGGATGAGGGAAACTTGGGAATGAAATAAATAAAATGAAAGTGGTTACCTGCTAAGAATGAGGAACAGACCAGTTATTTATTGCTTTTTTTTTTCTAACAAGCACATTCTACATTAGTAGTTAAATGAAACAATTTCACCAACTATATGGGATGTTCTGAATTGCTCTGCAGCACTATGATTTTGTTGGGTATTCCACAGGTCCACGTGTGGAGTGCCTTGTGACACAGGCATCTGCTAGAGTCTGTGGGTAGGAGATGCAGAGGTTTTTGTGGTTGATGGAGCTGGAGAGTGGTTTTCCTCCCTGAGAACATTCTTCAAAAGAACACTGTTCCTTTTAGAGTTTTTTTTAAAAATATTCATTTATTTATTTTTATGTATTTTTTATTTATATATAACAGCAGAATGCATTACAATTCTTATTACATATATAGAGCACAATTTTTCATATATCTGGTTATATATAGTATATTCACACCAATTCGTGTCTTCATACATGTATTTGGATAGTAATGATCATCACATTCCACCATCATTAATTACCCATGCCCCCTTTCTTCCCCTCCAACCCCTCTGTACTATCTAGAGTTTGTCTATTCCTCCCATGGTCCTGCTCCCTATCCCACTATGAATCAGCCTCCTTATATCAAAGAAAACATTCGGCATTTGTTTTTTTGGGATTGGCTAACTTCACTTAGCATTATCTTCTCTAACTCCATCCATTTACCTATAAATGCCAAGATTTTATTCTCTTTTATTTCTGAGTAATATTCCATTGTGTATATATGGCACATTTTTTTTAATCCATTCATCTATTGAAGAGCATCTGGGTTGGTTCCACAGTTTAGCTATTGTGAATTGTGCTGCTATAAACATTGATGTGGCTGTGTCCCTGTAGTATGCTATTTTTGAGTCCTTTGGGTATAGACCGAGGAGAGGGACAGCTGGGTCAAATGGTGATTCCATTCCCAATTTTCCAAGAAATCTCCATACTGCTTTCCATATTGGCTGCACCAATTTGCAGTCCCACCAGTGGTGTATGAGTGTATCTTTTTCCCCACATCCTCACCAACACTATTGTTGTTTGTCTTCATAATAGCTGCCATTATGACTGGAGTGAGATGAAATCTTAGAGTGGTTTTAATTTGCATTTCTCTAATTGCTAGTGATGATGAACATTTTTTCATGTATTTGTTGATTGATTGTACATCATCTTCTGAGAAGTGTCTGTTATTTATTTTTGGAAACGAGGATTGAACTCAGGGGCTTTCAACCACTGAGCCACGTCCCCAGCCCTATTTAGTATTTTATTTAGAGACAGGGTCTCACTGAATTGCTTAACACCTCACTGTTGCTGAGGTTGGCTTTGAACTTATGATCCTCCTGCCCCAGCTATCAAGATGACTGGCACCCCAACAGAGCAGGTTCCTGCCAGAGGTGTGAACTGCCTGGGAAAATTAAAAGTCTGAAATAATCAGTAAGAAATAAAGACAGAGCCAAAGATTAGATTTAGTGAAGTGCCTGATGGGCCTTTGAGTCCTGATAGGAGCTGGAAACTGAACAACTGAAAAAAGGCCCCATTCTTTATTTTAAGGCAGAGTACATCAAGGGCAGGGATAAGGTTTCAATGGGAGGAGTCTTGTTTCAATGGCTGGGGTCTTGCAGTAAACAGGTTGATTGGGATATGACAAGCTACACCAAGAGGCTATTGGCTCCAGAGGGTCACTCCCATCTCAGGATTTCAGCTAGAACTTGAGCAGTGAGCTAGGCAGGGCACCACGTCTATCAGGCTTTCTCCAACCAGTGCATTCCTGCTGGGAGTTCCTCATAGGAGGCTTTCCTGCCTAATGGCTACAACATCACCCAGTTTACCCACCCCTCACTGATGGCTTCCAGCACTTAGCCTTCCAAGCCGCTGGGATTACAGGCCTGCGCCATCAAGCCATAGCTAGAGTTATTATTTTTTAAAATCAAGTGAAATAGTGATGAGGCAGTTGTTAGACTGTGAACAAAGGATGCCTTATGAAAGCAGGGCTCAGTTTGTCTACTTCTGTGATTTTCACAATTGGTTCTAAACAGTGATGGTCTGTGTTTAAAATATAAAATCCTAAGCAACCTGAGGGCAGGCCATTTTTGATTTGCTCCAGTTTAACAAGTAGCTACAGCCCAGGCTGCACCTGCACTTACCGACTTCCCACTGGAGGCTGCTCAGGGTGACAGCTGGAGCAAGCCTGTAGCATCCCTTCCTCACCCACAGGCCTTCCTTTGTCTCATGTGCTGAAGGAGGCCGTGTTTGTTCATTTACTCTGTAAAAGTTTATTTTTGTCTTAAACCAGTTGTTTTGCTTTCACACCGGGAGAAATCCACACACTGCAAAGCTGTCACAATTTCAAGTTTTTGAAGCAAATAGTAGCAGATTCCTAAGCCTCCCTGACAGTGGGAAAGCTGATCCACTTTCTCTAGTTGGTAAAGTCATTCATCCTGCATATTTAAATGTCCCCACCATATGAAGAAGGCCACCAGCTATCACTTACTGAGCACCTCCTAGTGGGAGGCTTAAGCCCTGCATATGCTCCACCAATTTGATCCTCATGATGTCACTATGAGCTGGACAGGATTCTTCCCATTGTGCATTTGGGGGAAATTGGGGCTCAGAGATGTCAGTAACATGCAGCAAGGATTGAAATCAAGTCTCTTTGATCCTGAAATTTGTGCTGGACTAACAGAGAATACAGGACCTCCCACTTGTGACTGTAGTCCCAGATTCTTTCTGGAATAGGCCTATATTTCTTATGGGAAGATTGCTTTTTAAAAAAAATCTTTAATTTTTTCACTTTTTTAGTTCTGGATGGATAATGCCTTTATTTATTTATCTTTATGTGGTGCTGAGGCTCGAACCCAGTGCCTCACACATGCTAGGCGATATTCTACCACTGAGCCACAACCCCAGTCCTGGGAAGATTGCTTTTGACTTATCTGTTTGTAAGAGGCTCTGCACTTGCAAGGCAAGTACTTATCCCTTCAACATTCTGGTACAGATGGAGCATCCCTAATCCAGAAATCTGAAATGCTCCAAAACACAGAAGTTTTTGAATGCTGACATGATGCCACGAGTTGGAAGTTCTACATCATGGAACTTTGTTTTATGCACAAAATTATTAAAAATATTATATAAATAATTACCTCCAGATTATGTGTCTGGGGGTGTACATGCAATGTAAATCAATTTTCTGTTTGATGGTCTGTGTTTAAAATATAAAATCATAAGCAACCTGAGGGCAGGCCATTTTTCCAAGATCTCATTATGTATATGCAAATATTGCCAAATCTGACAAAATCTGAGATTTGAAACACACGTGGTCCCAAGCATTTGGATAAAGTCTGCTCGACCTCTGTGTAAAGTGAATGAAAACGTGGTGATGGCAAAACTTTCACTTAAGATTCTGACCAAATGTCACATCTTCTGAAAGCCCTCCCAACTGCCTTTCTAACCCAGCACCTCCTGTTCTCTTCGTTGCCCTGTTTCCCTTCATGGTATGATCTCTGCCTGGCCTGTGTGAATACACACTTGTGTGTGAGGATGTGTGGGGGATTATTTGTTTCTCTAACTGAACTCCTTGAGGGTAGGGACATTGTCTTTTTTACTGTTGTTATCCTTATACCTATAACAGAGCCTCCCATGTAGTAAGCACTAAGTAAATATTTGTTAGTTGAATACCTGGTAGAAAATATGTCAGTGTTTTCTGGACACCCCTGGGGTGCCTTCTGAGTGTTAGGTTTCCTAGAGTTCTCTTTTCATATTAAAAATTAAATGAAAATCCCATGCCCTCTTGTCTTCATTCCACACTTATGTAGTCTTCTTGCACTTATATACATTCAGGTAAATGGTACCCATCATCTAGGCCTGTTGTTTTGCACCTTCCTGCCCCATCAGAATGCCAGGGTGAGCTCCTGATGCCCAAGGCCTCATTCAGCAGCTCCCTGTGGATGAGCACTTTGATGCTTTCAACCTGTTACCATCTGAGTGATGCTGCAGTTAGGATTCTTGTATATTTTCTTTTGTGAATGAGAGCAAGTATTTCCTCTACAAAGAAAGAGAATCACTAGGTCAGGGTGAATGGGCATTTAAGATGATTATGACTCTGAGGTGGGAGTTTACCTGGTGTGTGCTCTAGGAAGGGAATGGGGTTAAGAGTGAGTAAGTGAAGGGGAGAGTACTAGTTGATGTTCATTCATCAGTGGGAGCGTGTGCAGCAGATTCCATGGGAGTTGGTAAGGACCTAGGCACTGGCTGAATGTGATGGTGGGGGAGGTGAATTGATAGTGGGAAAGTCAGAGCACGTGAAGAAATGCAAATGGCAAGTAGACATAGGAAAGTTGTTAACCTCAGGAGTAGAAAAGAATGCAAAACCACAATAAATCATGTATTAAATTAGCAAAGCTAACTTAGAACTGGTAATCCCTCTTGTTGGTGGTGTGAGGTGGTGTGATCAGACAATCTGGATTGATCAGACAGGATTTCATTTGAGCATCTCACTTCTGGAAAACAAGACCCTTCGATTCAGTCATTTTTTTCCTCACCTGGATTTATTGGCGCCAAAGCAGTACTTAGTTAGAATATTATGTGCTGGCCTCTGAGTGAGGTCCTTGGGAGAGCCTAGGGAGCTTTTAGTGACAGGGAAGGCCTATGGTATGCTATGTGTAAAATCGAACATAAAATGCCAGTGGTATCAATTAGGGAAAGAAAATGCATCAGAATGCCAATAGTGTCTGAGTTGTGGGTTTATCTAGCTTCTTTATGTTGTTTTGCAAATAAATATTTTATTTAACAATATTTTGTGTCTTTTAGTACTACATATTTACCATTTATCAACTCATAAAGTTTACTACTTTACATGATTGTGAAGATTTAGAGAATTATTAAACGATATATAAAAACAGAACCATTGATTTCAATTTTTATTAGAAATGGAACCCAGAATAAAGGAAACCTAGCAAAAGAAGGACAACTAATAGGGTAGCTGTGTGCTTCCATCACAGGAATTCACCCCTCTGCCTGCATGTGCTTTCTAAAGTTGTAAAGATGAACTTTTGAATTGTCTCGGCTGCAGTTTAACACAGCTGACATTGTGCTATAAGAAATGTGCTTCTATTTCAGTGGCCTCATTGTTCCTGAAAGAGATGGCAATGAGACAGTTCCCGAGGTGGTTGTCACATCAGGTTATGCCCTTCTGCATTTTTTTAGCGATGCCGCTTATAATTTGACTGGATTTAATATCACTTACAAGTAAGATATTTAAATCTAATATTTGTGATTGTATTTAAATGAAATGTTTTAATAATTATATTATAATAGTATAATAATATTAAAATATTGAGGACTTACACTGTGCCAGGAATTTCAGTAAGCAGATTACATGGGTTTCTCATTTAAAGTTTTTTAATATATTTTACAATTAAGGAAATGGGTGAAAAGATTAAATAAGTTGTTAACATAAGTGGTAGTGGTGGGGCCATAATTTAAACCCAGGTGTTGCTGCTGTTGAGCTTCTCCTGGAAGAGAGGGGCATTTCTTGCTTATAGATAAAAACACTGTTTTTTTTTTTTGGTAAGTACAATTTAATAAATATTAACAGTTGCCATGTACTCAGTAGTAGAACAAGTCTATGTTTTTGAAGTATCATGATAATTCATTTATCTGTCCCCTTTGTGTTATTTCTAAGCACTATCTATATAGTTATCTTAAGCCATGTTAATAGGAGATACATTATGGTTAAACTCACACATTGTTAAAATAACCCTGCTTCCATTCCATCTGAAATGGGTCAGCTTACTAAATAATTCAAAATATAAGATTTTGGGCAATAATCTTAAGTTTTACAAATTTTCAGAGATGTTCAGAGGGCTACTGGTACTATGAGTGTAGTTGGAAGTTTATCCTCTTCCTTCCCACGCTTGCAAACATGAATTTGGCAGTTGTGTAGCGCCTGTCACTAGTGGGCTACCGAGAAGAATAGGATAGTTGTCCCAGACTTGAGGAGCTAAATCTGAACAAATGTGATCAAATCTCTTCTCTCCTTGTGATTTCTTTAACTTTATGAGTTACTTGTTTTTTTGCCCTATTCTCATGAGCCTCCACCAGGGTGGGTTTGAGCTCACATGCCCAAGCTGTGCAGTGTGGAGGGACCCTTTTTGGGTTGAGTGGTAAACACTGCATTTATGCTTGTGAATGAACTGAAGAGACAGGGAGATCCTTAAGCCTTGTGTAGGAGGAAGTTCTGCCAAGTTCATTGGCGTGTTGGTTTGTGTTGACTTAGTTTTTTCACTGTCTTTATAGTTTTGACATGTGTCCGAATAATTGCTCAGGCCGAGGAGAATGTAAGGCCAGCAACAGCAGTGGCAATGTGGAGTGTGAATGTTCCGAAAACTGGAAAGGTGACTCGTGTGACATTCCTTACTGTACAAACAACTGTGGTTTTCCTCATCGAGGCATCTGCAATTCAAGTGATGTCCGAGGATGCTCCTGCTTCTCTGAATGGCAGGGTAGGAGCTTCTTTCTCTTGTTTTTCTTTCCGTTCACAAATTGTTTCTAGTTTAATACATTGTTCGTTAACCTTATTCTTAGCATCTGTACAACTTATGTTCATCATATATCAGGGGTCATGTAAGCTTTCTCCTCCCTTTATGTGGTTTCCTACAAATCTTTTAATGTCTCACCTATGTGGTTGTGGTCTCCTTAGAATTGTGGAGAGGTTTTCCATTTTGCAGTTCATTTATGAAAGTTTTAAGAACTTGGTCTCAGCCATAAGAGGACATAGCATAGAACCAAGTTTGGAGATGGGACAAGAGCTGACAATAATGCTATTTCCCCTAAAACTTTCTCCATGTTCTGAGAAAATTGATTATGCATTAGAATCTTAAAGCAGTCACCTAAAGTTATTATCTAGAGAAATAGCTTGTTAAAGGTGCTTTAGGGGATTCCATAAGGGCTAAGGGCAGTTGTTGATTTGATGACTTTGTTTATATACTTATTCCTTCCTCAGAACCTTTTCATTTTAAAAGGAAATATGTGTGTTTACATGCTTTCATCTGTTGGGTTTGGTGATACTAAGTAGTTAATAATTGGCATGTTTGAGTACCAATTTTTAACTACTTGCAAAGAGTGTAGCAGAAACCAGACCTTACATCTGTTATTGTATCTTACCTCTGTTGAGTTCTTTGCTTTACTAGAAGATGGGTAGTTTTTTGTTGTTGTTTGTTTTATTATCACTCCTAGGTCTAGTTGTTACATTTTAGGTTTTTCAATTTGAATTAATAATTTCTTTGTGTAGTCTTCCCACCGGAAGCTGATAAAGTATGACTTTTGATACTGAAATACCTACATTGGATATGGTCAAGTCATTATTAGAAAGTATATGATTTTGAATTTTATTAGGGATTCCTGGGATCAATACTGTGAGTGAATTAAAACCACAAAGAAATTTGTTTGAAATGTAGATGCTAAATTAGGGACTAAATATTCTTTAGAAAAATTTCACATTTATATGCTTAAAACCTGAAGTACAGTAAACTTTCCAGGTGCATTTAGTGAAGCTAATTTATTATGTTTTATTAGGCCCTGGATGTTCAGTTCCTGTGCCAGCTAACCAGTCATTTTGGACTCGAGAGGAATATTCAAACTTAAAGCTGCCCAGAGCATCTCATAAAGCTGTGGTCAATGGAAACATAATGTGGATTGTTGGAGGATATATGTTCAACCACTCAGATTACAGCATGGTTCTAGCGTAAGTTATTTTTAAAAATTTTTGTAAGAAGTTTAGTTTTTCATTTTTCCAATTAAGCCTAAATAAGCGAAAGGAAAAGAAATCATCAGTCCTGCTACTAATAAACTTCCTTTTCAGGTAATCTGAATCTTTGAAATTGAACACCACAATACGTTGTTTGTTAACCTTATTCTTAGCAAAAAACTTTTTTAGTAGTTGTAGATGGACAGAATGCCTTCATTTTATTTGTTTATTTTTATGTGATGCTAAAGATCAAACCCAGTTCCTCACACATGCTAGGCAAGCCACTGAGCTATATAGCCCCAGCCCCAGCCCCAAAGTATTCATTTTTAAGCCATGTGCTAATTTATCATTTTGAGATACTTTTTCTGGTATTTTACTTTATTTGTTTATAGTAGGCTATATATATAGGGGAGTATTTTATGTGTTAATTGAATTAATAGTTGTAGGGAGACTTTCTTTTAGAAGAAATTTGTGAATATTTACTCATTGTGATTTTGTGATGTGAAAGTTTATTTTAGGCCTTTTGTGTTAATGAAGATTATAAAACACCAGCATCTATTTTTCAAGATAGAAATATGGCACTTGTGGTATAGTTTCTGAATCCTATGAAATACAGTCACTAGTACAGAACAAATAGGATAGCAAAATAAACACCTGAGTTCCTGGCATGGTGGTATGTGCATTATAAATGAGCCACTTGGGAGGCTGTGGAAGGAGGTTTTAAAGTTTGAGGCCAGCATGGCCAACTTTGTGAGACCCTGACTCAAAATAAAAAAAGTCTGGGGATGTACCTCAGTGGTAGGGTGCCTAGTACTGTGAAATAACCAAAAACAAAACAAAAACAGACAAATGAGCAACATCTGTAAGAAAATTTTGTCTGAAGGTTTACTCTCAACTGTGTGGGGCAGAACTGTTGATGGCTATAAGCCCTGCATGGGTCACCTTCTGTGCAGGAGTGAGTAGCACAGAAGAGCAGCAGTGGGAGGCCCATAGCATCCAGAATGGCTGTAAGGTACTCACTCATGGGCTTAGCAAACCATGTTGAGAGCCACAGCTGGGACTGGAGGATGTTGTATATTCTAGTAGCTGAGTAAGTTCAAGGGATCCATAGTAGAATTTGAAGGGTCTGGAGCAGTTTGTGCTGTATTTATTCTCAAAGTGAACCAGCCAAAGTTTCTATCTTTCTTTAACTGCCCAGCCACAATTTCTTTGCAGGAGCAAGTCCATACTGAGGAGAAATGCTGAGAATAGAATTCATAATGAACAGGACAGGGATAGTGGAGACTAAGTGAGAGAAGGTTCAGTGAGAAGGGAACAGAGTGAGGTGTTCTCAACATGGGAACTGCCATCTGTGTGAACATTCCATTGCAACAGCAAAGAGTGAGCTCAAGAGCTGAGAAGGTAAAACTATCCTGAAGCTACCCAGTGAAAACACAGGGAGAAGCAGGTTTTTTTTGTTTTTTGTTTTTTTTAATTTTAGTTCTAGATGGACACAATTTCTTTGTTTTGTTTATTTTATGTAATGCTGAGGATAGAACTCAGTGCGTCACCTATGCGAGGTAAGCTCTCTACCACTGAGCTACAACCCCAGCTCCAGGGAGAAGCAATTTTACTTAAAAATATCAAGGTTAAATATCATGGAAAGTTCTTATCAGAAAAAAGAGAGTATGGAATAAAATAAGCCCATTCATACAGAAAGCATTAAATATAGAAAAATATAAAACTGATGAAAATTACAATACAGTATTCCAAAACAAGCTAAATATATAGTATGCAAGAACAATCTAATCAGAACTAGAAAAATTCAGAAATTTGATTGTTGGTTTGTTTGTTTGCTTTTTTTTTTTTTTCTTTTTTTAGTTCTTGGGATTGAACCCAGGGGTACTTTACCACTGAGCACATTCTGAGATCTTTTTTTTTTTTTTTAATTTTTATTTATTTATTTTTAAATTTTGACACAAGGTCTCACTAAGTTGGTGAGATTGGTTTCTAACTTGCAGTCCTCCTCCTTCAGCCCCAGAAATTTCTGGGAGGATTATAGGCAGTCACTGTCATGCCTGGCTGGAAGTTAAGAATTTTATTTTTTAAATTAAAAAATATTTTTTAGAAGTTAAGTATTTTAGAGATTCAAAAATAATTTTAGAATTGAAGACAAACCTGAAGGACACAGGGTTTATAAATGCTTTAGAAATAGAATATGAAAAGAGGGATTTTTGTTTTTAATCATAAAGAAATGAAGGTTATTTTCCCGTTTTTACAGTAAGTACAGTTAAAAATCCTGGACACTAAGACAAATATGGGACAAAAGAAATAAGAGGAAATCAAAAGACACGCTGAAATGAAGGAAAACGTAATTTGTTTCCAGTAGACTTTTCCTATAAAAGTGATAAAGGAAGGTCTCTAAACAGAAATCAATGAAAAAAGGAGTCTCAGAACCTCAGGAACAGAAAATATGCTGAAAAATGTAATCAATTTTTTTCTTCTCTTGAGTCTTTTTAATTAAATTTAATGACTAATAAAAGTATTATAGTGAAATAACCTTTTGCAACTTAGAAGAATAACTCACCAAAAATTTGTGAAAGGATGTGGAAAATGCACTGAACTATTGCTGCTATTTTTTCTCTTGTTGTTAACAGGAAATTTATTCCACCTAGTTGAGCAACTGCAGTCTCCGAGATTGTTTCCTCTCTGTAAAACGAGGAATGGTAGGATGAGGAGTGGAGTTCTTTTTTTTTTTTAATATATATTTTTTTTAGTTGTAGATGATCACAATATCTTTATTTTTATTTTATTTGTTTTTATGTGGTGCTGGGGACTGAACCCAGGGCCTCACGCATGCAAGGCAAGTTCTCTACCACTGAGCCACAATCCCAGCAGGAGTGGGATTCTTTTCTGAGTTACTTTTAGCATCTTATACCAAAAAGATGTTCTCCTTACCCCCAAATCTGAAAATTAGATGGAACTTGCATCACACCTATTTAATATTCTCCCCTTAACCCTATTTGAAAGCATATTTCCTGTTTCCTTTAAGTGTTTTTCTTGGTTTAAAAAAATGCATACATTTTTATAGAAAACAAGCTCTTTCTTTCTTTCTAAAAAATATCTATTTATTTATTTTTATGTAGTGCTGAGTACCGAACCCAGTACCTCGCATGTGCTAGACAAGCACTCTACCGCTGAACTATAGTTCCAGCCCTGATGAGTGCTGCTTTTACAAAATACTACTTGGTTGTGAAATCAGCCAATTAAGTATTAAAGAGCTCAAGGAGAAGTCATGGTAGAATGACTGCGAGAAGATTGCCTGAGCTCAGACACAGATTCTGTAGTAAATATCTATGGAATTATAGAATGGAATGTGAATGTTATGAACATGTGGTGGTGTCAATGTAACAAAAATAGGGAGAAGAAATGGGATTAGAAATGTTAATGCTAAGATTTTCAACTTTCAAAGCAGGAAGTTAGTAGAGTGCCCCAAAGTAAATTGTGTATACATTTAAAACTTGAGCAAACAACATTAGTAATAAAATAATTAATTAATAAAACTAAATAATTAGCCACTTAATGTATAATGATTAGATAACACTAAAGCTTAAATAATTTTTCATGTATTTTTAAAAAATGGACTATTCCAAAAATATACAAAGTAAATAGCCAATACTAATTTATGTGTTATTTGCATTTAATAGATGTCACCATGTTGTTATATTTGCTTCAGATCTTGTATAAAATATTTTAGTGAAAAGGAAAAGTTTAGATAAAATATAATGAATACTAATGCATTTAGCACCTGTACTGGGAAATAAAACATTGTGAATACAATTGAGGACTCTGGTATGTTCTTCTCAAGTACCAGAGGCAGTGTCCTGATTTTGGTTTCAGTTGTTCACCTGCATTTCTTAAAAATATGTTGAAAGCCAGGCACAGTGGCATATGTCTGTAATCTCAGCAGCTTGGGAGATGGAGGCAGGAGGATTTCAAGTTCACAACCAGCCTCAGCAACTTAGTGAGGCTCTAAGCAACTCAGTGAGACCCTGTCTCTAAATAAAATACAAAATAGGGCTGGAGATGTGGCTTAGTGGTCAAGTGCCCCTGAGTTTAATCCCTGGTACCCCCCCACCACCAATAAAAAAGTTGTATTACTATATTTTCTGGTTGTAGTCTTCATAAAAAACAACATTTTGGCTGGGTATGATGGTGCAAAGGTGTAATCCCAGCTACTCAGGAGGCTGAAGGAGAAGAATTTGAGGCCAGCCTCAGCAACTTTTGTGAGACCCTGTTTTGAAATAATAAAAAGTCCTGGGACTATACTACCACAAGCAGTATACTGATTCAGTGCAATCCTCATCAAAATACCAAAGGCATTCTTCACAGAGCTAGAAAAAACAGTTCTAAAATTCACTTGAAAAAAAAAAGACTCAGAATAGTCAAAACAAATTTAAGGCAAAAAAGCAATGCTGGAGTCATCAGAGTACCTGTCTTCAAATTATACTGCAGAGCTATAATAACAAAAACTGCATGGTACTGGCATACAAACAGACACAGAGACAAACCCACACATCTGCAGTCATTTCTTGACAAAAGTGCCAAAAAGATACATTGAAGAAAAGACAGCCTTTTTAACCAATGGTGTTGGGTAAACTGGTTATCCATATATAGAAGAATGAAACTAGACCTTATCTTTCACCTTGCATAAAAATCAGCTCACAATGAATCAAAGACCTGGGAGTTAGACCAGAAACTATGCAACTTCTACAAGAAAACATAGGGTCAACACTCCAACACATAGGCATAGGCAATGACTTCTCAATACCCATAAAGCTCAGGAAATAATGCCAGGAGTTAATAATGGGATGGCATCAAATTAAAAAGCTGCACAGCAAAGGAAACAATTAGGAGTGTAATGGGAACCTACAGAATAGGGAAAATCTTTGCTGGATAAGTAACTCTAAAGTATATAAAAAACTTTAAAAACTTTACACCAAAAATAATACAATTAATAAATAGGAAAATGAATTAAACAGACATTGCTCAAAAGAAGAAATACAAATGGCCAACAAATACATAAAGAAATGTTAAACATTATTAGTAATTAGAGAATGCAAATCAAAACTACACTGAGATTTCATTTTATACCAGTCAGAATGGCAGTCATCAAGAATACAAATGCTGGAAAGAATGTGGAGGAGAAGGAACATTATACTGTTGGTGGGATTGTAAATTAATACTACCACTATGGAAATCTATAGATTCCTCAAAAGATAGTCGTGGAACCACCAAATAACACAGTTATACACTCCTCAGTATTTTTATTAAAGAATTACAATAATTACACTACAGTGATACGTGCATCCCCATTTTTATAGTACCACAATTCATAATAGCCAAACTATGGAACCAGCCTAGGTGTCCATCAACAGAAGAATGGATAAAGAAAATGTGGGATATAAACACGATGGAGTTTTATTCAGCCATAGAGAAGAATGAAATTATGTCATTTGCAGAGAAATGGATGGAACTAGATACCATTATCATGTTAAGAGAAATAAGTCAAACTCAGAAGGTCACGGGTGGTATATTTTCTCTCATAAGCAGAAGCTAGAGAGGAAAAGGAGGAGAAAGATGGGAGCAATCTCATGAAAATCAAAGGGAGTTCAGTAGAAGAAAGGAACCAAGGGGGTGGGAGATGGGGAGGAAGGAAAGAAGTGCTGGGGAGTGATACTGGCCAAATTATATTGTTATATTGTATGCATGTATGAATACGCAACAAGATACCCATTGTTATGTACAACTATAACGTACTGATTTTGAAAAACATGGATAAAAAAGGCCTAGTAGTGTTAGCTCAGTGATCAAGTGCCTCTGAGTTCAGTTCCTAGTACTAGGGGAAAAACTAAAAACAATATTCTGCATTTTTGTCCTTTATTTAGCTTAACATTCTTTGAGATTTATGTTGCTATATATTGCTTGAATTTCTCTCTAAATTATTTGGTTACATGGATATAATTTATTAATTCATTTTTAATTGATAGCTGTTTTCACTATGATGTTATGATAAAATTTTTTTAACATTTTCTTTTAAGAATGTTTTTTAGGGGCTGGGGTTGTGGCTTAGTGATAGAGCACTTGTCTAGCATGTGTAAGGCACTGGGTTCCAGCCTCAGCACCACATAAAAAAAATAAGTAAACAAAATAAAAGTATTTTTTTAAAAAAGGAATGTTTTTGATAATTTTTTAAAAAGTTGGATTATCCAGGTATACTCTCAGAGAAATGAAACATTTACTTAGAGTACAAAAAGACGTTTGTTTTTTCTTTGGTTTTTTTTTTTGGCTGTTAATTCTAGAAAAGTTAAAATTAATACTTTTAGCTGTGTGGGGGTGCCACATACCTGTAATCCCAGCTATTTTGGAGGCTGAGGCAGGAGAGTAACAAGTTTGAGACTAGCCTGGGCAACTTAGCAAGATCCTGTTTCAAAATAAAATTTTACAAAGGGCTGTGGATGGGGCTGGGTTTGTGGCTCGGTGAGCGCTTGCTTAGCATGCATGTGCCCCTGGGTTTGATTCCCAGCATCATGTTAAAAACAACTAAATAAACAAAGGTATTGTATCCATCTACAACTAAAAATATTTTAAAAAAGGGGGGGCTGTGGATGTAGCTTATTGGTAGAATGATCCTGGATTCACTCCCCAGTACCACCCCCATCCCACACAATGTTGCCTCCCGCCGTGCAAAAAAAAAAAAAAATCAACATTTTAAAAGTATCATGTAAGGATTTATCCCTTTATATAAAATATTTTTGTTAATCTTTTTCCCCCTGTTTATGTGCATAGAAAGATAACTGGAATGTTGTTTACTCACTGTTAATAATATTTATTTCTAGGTAATAGAATGTGGGGTTGTGTTTTAAACTTTTAGCTGTTTTCTTCATAATGAATGTGTATGATTTATAATAGCAATTCAGTGATTTTTTTTCTCAAAACAAACAAAATACTCAAAATTAAATATGTTAAGATGTTGAATATGATTATTCAGTAATGCAAGGGTAAGTATAAATTGTATGACAAGAGTATTAAATTATTTTCATTTTGGCATGTTTGTATTTCAAAAGATCAGTATGTAAATTTATAGTATAATTGAAATGCTATAATATATTCAGCCTTCCTTAAAAGTATGACTAAAATCAATTAGGTGGAAGAAAAGGAAATTTTTCTAGTAATTTCCTTTTATTTATCTTCAGTTTTTTAGGATGGATTGAAGGAAAAGTTATTGTAATAAATTAAGTTTAAGTCCCTTTAGTATGATGCAATCTTCAAGTGATTTAGACTACAGAAGAGATTTTCAGAAGAGGCATTAGAAGCTTCCACCAGACTTTTATTTCCTTCTTGTCCCAGTGCTATGTAGTCCACCATCCCTTCCTGAATTCTCAGATACCTAGTGGGCTCAGGTGTCGGTAGTGTTTGCCAGGGTAACTGGTGCCTGCCTGTGTCCTTGATTCAATGAACATCTCAAAACTGGATTGTTACAAATAAAAGAGTACAAGATATTCTGTTTTGTCATTTGGATAAAAATTTGATCTGTTTGTTTTGTAGGTATGACCTTGCTTCTAGGGAATGGCTTCCACTAAACCATTCTGTGAACAATGTGGTTGTTAGATATGGTCATTCTTTGGCTTTATATCAGGTAAAAATACCCGCACTCTGTACTAAGCATGAAACTCGACTCTTCCTCAGTTAATTTATGCATTATGCAGTTGAAAAGCTATTGAATGTTGTTTTTTTAATTGGGGCAGACTTTCTTTTGGCGGTAGGAGTTATTTGATTGGCTAAGTTGTAAATGGAATTGAAGCTGCAATTTCTTGAACCCAAGAGATTTTAATGGATCTAACCATACTGAGATATTATTGATTATGATACCAAGTGGTTAGAACTGTAGATTAAAAAGTATTGATTAGCATTTATGCCATTCCAGGTTTAGCCAAGAATTGTCAAGCAACTAAATAATAATTTTCACCTCCCATTTTTGGAAGTATGTGGTAGGATGAAGCAACTTTATTTTTTCAAGTTATTTTATTATGTAAAAGATCTCATAAGCAAGCCCAAGAAAATGACAAAGTTTTAGAGACATAAAATATGATTTGCTTATTTTTGTTCCTTTCTGCATCCTCTTCCTAATTATTCATGGAATGGCCCATTAATACTTTTTAAGCTGAGAACAATATTGAGGTTTTGAACTGGTCATTTTTTGTTCTCAGATTTGATATTTTTTTTTTTTTAGAGAGAGAGAAAGAAAGAATTTTTTAACATTTATTTTTTAGTTTTCGGTGGACACAACATCTTTATTTTTTTATTTTTATGTGGTGCTGAGGATTGAACCCAGTGCCCCGCACATGCCAGGCGAGCATGTTACCGCTTGAGCCACATCCCCGGCCCCTCAGATTTGAATTTTTAATGTTTTTTAAATCCTGTTTATGTTTTTTCCTCTAGGATAAAATTTACATGTATGGAGGAAAAATTGATTCAACAGGCAATGTGACCAATGAGTTGAGAGTGTTTCATATTCATAATGAATCATGGGTATTGTTGACCCCAAAGGCAAAGGAGCAGTATGCAGTGGTTGGACACTCAGCACACATTGTAACACTGAAGAGTGGCCGGGTGGTCATGCTGGTCATCTTTGGTCACTGCCCTCTCTATGGATATATAAGCAATGTGCAGGAATATGACTTGGGTAGGTATATTTTTTTCAGTGCACATGTTTTAAACATCAACTTAAAAACCTCTCCTTTCATTGTTAGGATGTTAAACAAGATTCAAGCTAACCTAGATCCAGTTCTTCATTTTGAAATGCAGATAACTTGGTTGTATAAACAGTAAAATTCAGGTTATTCATGCCCCTTTCTACTGTCAATTTTCGAGGAGATAAAGGAGGTACTGAATACTAAGGGTGTTAAAATAAATAAAAGTAGTTCAAAACTACAAATGCTATGGAAAAATTTGGATGGCCCTTTAGTGGTTGATTTAATGGAGTGTGAATTTCCTTTAATACATAATCTTTCCTTGGTTAAATTTTGTTTTATCTGTTGTTGTAAGTAGGTGTATCAGCTATAATTTATATTTTGAGATAGTAGGCCTATAAAGTACATCTGTATACTGATTACTAAAGATCATAGGGAATTGAATTCTCACTTGAGGGGAATCTGAGTCCTTTATTTTAAAACAGTTTTAAACCCCTGCATTTATAGCCAATTTGTTCTTTTTTGTCTCTTTCCAAGCTTTTTATTTATTCTTATTTTTTATAGGTTCTTTTTAGTTATATGTGATAGTAGAATTGATTTTGATATAATTATATAAACATGGAATGTGTCTTATTCTATTTAGGACCCCATTCTTTTTGTGGGGAGGGTACCAAGGATTGAACTCAAGGACACTCAACCACTGAACCACATCCCCAGCCCTATTTAGTTTTTTATTTAGAGACAAGGTCTCACTGAGTTATGTAGCAGCTCACTTTTGCTGAGGCTGGCTTTGAACTCCTGATGAACTCACTTTTGCTGAGGAACTCGTGATCCTCCTGCCTCAGCCTCCTCAGCCGCAGAGATTACAGGCATATGCCACCATGCCCGGCTTGGACCCCATTCTTGTTGATGTATATGATGGTGGGATTTACTGTGGCATATTCATATATGTACCTATATATGAGTAGGAAAATTATTTTGGATTCATACCCCTGTCTTTCTTTTTCCTATCCTTTTTCTTCATTCCCCTTTGTCTATCATCTATTCTTCCCCTCTCCCTTGTTATTGTGGGTTAGCTTCCATATATCAGCAAAAACATTTGACCTTTAGTTTTTGGGAACTGGCTTATTTTACTTAGCATAATAGTCTCCAGATCCATCCATTTACTTGCAAATATCATAAAGTCTTTCTTCTTTATGGCTAAGTAATACTCCATTATGTATATATACCTAGTTTGGCTCCATATCTTAGTTATTGTGAATTGAGATGCTATAAACATTGATATGGCTGGAATCTGAATCAGTTTAATGAAATTCTTTTCCTGTATAGCATGTTAGAATATCAGAACACTTAACAGATTGGAGTTTGGCCATATGGGTTTGTTACAAGTTTTAGGTGGATTTTTTTTTAAGATAAAAGGATGAAATTATATGCATCAGCTCTTGTGAAATCCCTTCTCCATCCTTGAGATATTTTGATGTTGAATATTAGATAAAGGGAACCTGCATGCTTTTGACTGTTTTTCCCTTTCCAGAGAGGAACACCTGGAGTATTTTGCAAACCCAGGGTGCCCTTGTGCAAGGGGGTTATGGCCACAGCAGTGTTTATGATCACAGGACCAAAGCCCTGTATGTCCACGGCGGTTACAAGGCTTTCAGTGCTGTTAAATACAGGCTCGCAGATGACCTCTACAGATATGATGTGGACACCCAGATGTGGTGGGTGCTTTTTCTTGAGCTTTTGCTTTAAACTGTGAATTCTCTAGATGCAATTGTTGGGAAAAAATTTTGCTGTTTTTTTTTGTTTGTTTGTTTTGTTTTGTTTTTGTTTTCAGGCCTGGTGTATAACTCTGTTCAGTGTTGTATATAAAGAAATTAGGAAAAAGCAAAGGGTAATAAATTAGCTGCATTTATTTTGTTGCATTATCCTACATTCTGTAATATAGTGGTTAGAAACTACTTGGTATTCTTGGGTTGATTTTCAGTTTTCATACACTCAACCCTACTGTAATTTTTTTCCCTTTGGAATCCTAAGGAATAAAGCAGTAGTTGAGTTTGTACACACACTTATAATTAAGTAGACTATATTCTTTTTTTTTTTTTTTTTGGTGGTGTTTGAGATGGAACCTAGAGCTTCACACTTGCAAGGCAAGTTCTCTGCCACTGAGCTGTACCTCCAAGAAGATGTATCCATTTTTGAACCTTGTCTTGGTAATCAAAGTGTCACCCCTGAGGTCAGCAATTGGCATAATCCAATATAATCATCAAACAGGATGCTCTCATACCTAATTAATAGAGCTCTCCTCATGCTGAATTACAGATCAGCCTGTAAAATGTATGCTCATTTTAACAAATATAAAGCTAATTTGAGTTATGAAATAATGTAATTTTAAAGCAATGTTTTCCCTCTTTTGGTATTTCATCACATATCTGAAAGACCATTCCCATAAATATGGTTTTACATTCAGTCTGGCATAAAAATCATCATTTTTATTAGCTTTGTAATACTCCATCTTGTGAGTGTACTGAGCCTGTGTGGTTGGAAGTTTTTATTTCTAGCTTTTGTCTTGTTAGTAAAGTATCGTGCATAAGAGTCTCTCTGTGTTTCATATGATTTCTTCCCAGAAAACAGAATTATAGCATCCTATGTTATGAACATTTTAAGGGTGTTAATATCTTTTGCCAAGATTCTCATAGGATTTTACATGTCTAGAGAGTTACTTATGTGTAAAGAAAGTCTGAATGTATTTGCACATTTGGGTTTGAAGCTAATAAAATGGCTAAGTTTGCATTAGCAGATAAATAACTATTCTTAAAAACTAACCTTACATTTATTATTTTTCAATAAACTCAAAGGACCATTCTTAAGGACAGCCGATTTTTCCGTTACTTGCACACAGCTGTGATAGTGAGTGGAACCATGCTGGTGTTTGGAGGAAATACACACAATGACACATCCATGAGCCATGGTGCCAAATGCTTCTCTTCAGACTTCATGGCTTATGACATTGGTAAGTTTCCCAGAGCCATTTGTCTCTTCAGAAGTGTTTTTGTATATAAAAGCAACATTTTAAAAAGAAACTGAAAATATCACTAGTTCAAATGGTCAGGCCACTTGAAAGAGGTCCAAATGGTAATTTTGTATTTATTTGACTAAGGTTATACATTTGTTAGAAAGCATTACTTCTACATATAGTTCTTCTGTAAGTCACTGTTGTTAATTGCTTAAATGTTAATTTTCGGGAATGTTATAAGGAGCTGCTTCAGAAAACACTCTTTTAAGTCGAAATTCAAATCAAAGAGAACTACCTGGCCAGGGACTGTCACTCACCCATAGAGAATGAAGCTCTGTAGGAGAACAGCAATTTCCGGGCCTGTGTCTTGAGAATTTAAGGATGAAAACTATAGCTCAGGGACTTTTCTTGGCATCATGTGAGTAAGCCAATCACAGAAACTAAAATAATGGTTAGCGGGACCTTAGAGCCCTAAGCAGGACCGGAATTTTCCAGTTAGCAAGCAAGCAAGTTACAGAAGCTTAAAATAAAAGCAGTTAGCTTGTGCAACTTGAACAACCGCATCTTGGGTCCAAGCAGGGTTTGGACAACGGTATCCTGAGTTCAAGCAGGGGGTTAGTGGGGGCAAGAATCTATTTACATTTTGTGGGGTACAAAGCAGAGAAAACAATTTTTTTTTTTAAATCAGAAAACATCTTTCATTTCAGTTTCTCAGAAACAGCTCTTGTAACATCTTTTTTTTTTTTTTTTTTTAATAGAAGGCAGCAAAATGGAGTCTGAGGCCTGTCCATGACAGTTCTCGCTTTATAATTGTCTTATCTCACTTCTCAAAATCTTAGATCTATAATCTCTATTTTTTACTAATCTATAACCTATATCTTACACTCTTACTGATTCTACTAATTAGTTTACACCACAACAGAGGATGAGTTGAGATATCTGGCCTTGGGCATATTTAAATGCTGTGGTGAAGGCCAAAGATGGCATGGAGTCCTGAAGGAAAGCGGGTACACACTGTGGAATCAAGGAAGGGACCTTTGAAGTGAGAGAAGAGGAAGGAATCTGCCCCACTGGTTTTGGGGAAGGAAGCAAGGTGGGTAGGCAGGAAGCTGGGGGCAGTTGTGGCCTCTGTTCTCCATGTTGAGGAAGATGGGGTGGAGAAGACCGGGCAGGTTTGGGTCAAGGTTGAAGAAGCTCTTCTTGGGCAGTGTCCCTGGGAGTGAGGCAGTGAGCTTGTGGGTGGGGTGGTGCAGGAGCACCCTTGGTGTTCAGTCAGAGGGACATTGCTAGCATAGGTCAGGGCAAAAGAGGCTCAGGAGATCTAGGAAAGAGCTTTAAATTTTTAAATAAAGTTTAATTTTTGAAATTTTAATTTCCACTTGCATTTTTCTACGGTAGCTACTAAGTTTGGGCAGATCAATATGGGAAAGAGTAGAAAACAATTGTGGAACTCAGAGTATACTCACTTAAGCTTTATAGAATATAACATTTGCTTAAGTTAAAAAACATTCTTGGGGGCCAGAGATGTAGTCTAGTGGTAGAGTGCTTGCCTATCATGATAGGCAAGGTAATGGGTTGGATACCCAGCATGGCAAAAACCAAAACCAAAAACAAACATTCCAGTGTGTAAAACTGATAGACAGCAGGGTGAGTGATGTCATAAATGTCAGATGCTAATTGGAATTGCCATGTGACCCATCTTTCTTTTGTGCCCTACTGCTCCACTGTTGCTGGTTTTTACCCAGCAATCATAGCATGACTAATAGAGTTGAGAGGCATGTTTTACAAAGTTGTGTGAGTGTTACAGTCTTCTTCTTGAAGACTGTCAGTTTCTGTTGATTATGAATGGCAGTCCTCTCTGAAATGTGTTTTTCTTGCTTCTAGCTTGTGATCGCTGGTCAGTGCTTCCAAGACCTAATCTCCACCATGATGTCAACAGATTTGGCCATTCCGCAGTCTTACACAACAGGTAATTGGAGAAGTGCTTGCTTCTTTTCTTTTGTGCTTGAGATGGAAGTGAAATAAAATATGTAGAAGTGAAAATGAACTAATATTATTTGCAGGATTCCCTCATTCCATTAGTTTTTCACAGAGGACAAATTTCCTGATTGAGGGTTAAAATATTCGATGTGACTGTGAATTGCTTCAAATGCCATGTTTGTTGATCTGGTGGTGTTAGCACACAGGGACATGCTGTGTTTGGTGGTATTGGGATGTGTGGGGCAACAAAAGCTCCATGCATGTTACTGTGTTAGGTCTTATGTAATTCTCTTTTGTACTTAGGTTGTTGAGTTTCAAGTAGCTGTATCTGAACAGTAAAGAGAGATTGGAAAAAAAAGCAGAGAGGGCCCTTTAGGTGAGAGATAAGGTAGGGAACAGAGATGCGGAGGTTGTGGAGCTTGACATAGGGCCAGTCTGTAGTCCTTGGATGATCTGAAGTCTGCACTGCATTTCACTGCATTGCTGAAAAACGCCTAAGTCAGCTATCCCTCATGAATAATTATATATATATATATACACATACATAGTATTTATCTGTGTTGCTCAGCCGTAAGTTGGCTTTGCCTGACTTAGTTGTTCTGAGTGTGGTTTTGATTAATCTTTTTTTATTTTTTTGGTTAGTGCTGCATATGGAACCCACGGCTTTGTGTATGCTGGATAATTGCTCTACCACAAACTACATTCCCAGACCTCTTAATCTGTTTTTAAATTTGCTGTTCTTTCCTCTGCCACTTCAAATCTGTTACTGAGTACCTCTAGTGAATTTTTCATTTTTCTTATTGTATTTCCAACTCCAGATTTTCCATTTATTCTTTATAATGTATCTCTCTCTCTCTCTCTCTCTCTCTCTCTCTCTTCTTTTTGGCATTTCAGGTGATTTTTTATTCTCTTTGAATCTCCAATTCCTAGTACAGTGCCAGAAACAGAGTGCATATTTTTTGAATAAAAAACTTAATTACCCTTTGACACTTGGTTCTCAGAATCCTCATGATGAGCTTGAAACTGTTATGTTGTTCTACAGACACAGGTAACAAGAAACAACAGCTTTTTCCAGGCATGTCCATGTGGGTGAACAGCCAATAATCTCTCCACAGTCCAGGAAAAAATGTTTCTTTTTCCATTCTATTTACGTATTCTGTAAAATCATCTATTACTGTGATCAACCTTAGAGTGAGTAAGAATATCCTTATAAAAAGTACTTCTCCCCGGCCAGGCACAGTGGTGCACATCTGTAATCCCAGCAGCTCAAGAGGCTGAGGCAAGAGGATCACAAGTTCAAAGCCAGCTTCAGCAAAAGTGAGGCCCTAAACAATTCATTGAGACTCTGTCTCTAAATAAAATATAAAATAGGGCTGGGAATGTGGCTCAGTGGTCGAGTGCCCCTAAGCCAATCCCGGTACCCCACTCCCCAAAAAGTACTTCTCTCCTACTGGAAATCAAATTCAGTTCTGATTTTAAAACCTACTAAAATACAAAAATAAGAAACATGTGAGTTCCATGTATGTCTCTTTATTGCTATTCTCTGTTAAGCTATTAATGTCATGCTTTCATTTAATTCTTTAGACAGTTTTTTTTTTTTACTTCCTTAAATATATACTAGCTGTTTTGAAGCGTTGATCTCCTGAATTCAACATGTGGACCCTCTCAGAAATGTTTTTACTGTCTCTTGTTTCCTCTGTATTGGTCACATATTTTCCTTTGTTTGCATATTTTGTTGAAAATGTAACATCTTAAATAATATATTAAAATAAGTCTGGATCCGGATTCCTCTACCACCACCACCAGGGGTTGCTGCTGCTTATTTAGGGCTTTTGTATAATTTAATTTTATGGATTCTCTTCCTTCCACAGTGTGCCATTGCTGATTTTTATGCTCAGTTGTTTTCTCCTGTTTTTAATTTTAATTTTTATGCTCAGTTGTTTTCTCCTGTTTTTAATTTTGATTTTTATGCTCAGTTGTTTTCTTCTGTTTTTAATTTTAATCCCTTTGGATTGCTGCCAGATCAGTGTAGCTTAGTGTTCAGCCAATGTTTACTCAATGTTTGTGCTTAAACACTTGCAGCCATTAAGTATCCACTATTTACTGTTGTGTTTATTTGTGATTTGGGGGAATATATTCAAAGTTTTGGAAGTTTACAAATGTGGTCTAGCTTTTACTTTTTTTGCATTTTCAAGGTCTGACATTCAGTTGGGTGTGAATGGATAGACAGGGCTGCCTTCTCTGTTATCTTCTGCATGTTATTAAAGCCTTATGTAGACACTCAGCCATTACACTACTAGAGATGTGAAATCTTATTAAAGTGCACTATGATTGAGGTTGTATAGAAGAAATAATAGATGGGTAGAAAGGAGAGAAAATGAATGGAAGGAAAATCTGCAGCTTAAATATAAAAGCCCCGTGAATGGAGTTACTAATACTTTTCCTTCCGAGTCCTGCCCTTCTTCCTGGCCTGTCACTCCCAAATTCTTGAGAAATCTGTAAGTCTTAAAGTTATTGCCATTTCCCTCATCTGTGAAAATTGCCTTGCTTTAATGCTTATGTGCACTGTTAGCTGACTTACAGTGTCTTTCTAGATTAGACAACCAAAAGTGAGATGTATTATAAGAAACCTATCATTTGGATATAATCCAGACTTTACCTATTAATCAGAGAAGAGAGTGTCAATCTAGAAGATCCTGAAGCAGACCAGACCACTGTAAACGTCTTGAGATCCATCACCAAAAAATTGAATTCCCGAAGCTCACATGCCTTCCCATACCCATAAAATTTTTCTTTAAAAGAAGGACCCAAGACCCCCAAAAAGCATGTCTTAGTGTTCAGCCAATGTTTACTCAATGTTTGTGCTTAAACACTTGCAGCCATTAAGTATCCACTATTTGCTGTTGTGTTTATTTGTGATTTGGGGGAATATATTCAAAGCCCACACCCTGAGAATGTATACTTAAATTTCTGTAATAAATTTCCTTCTTTGCTACTGAGACTTCACTCATCTTTAAGTTCTTTTCCACAACAAGTCAAGAACATAGAAGGTCTGAGTAGAGCTCTTATTACCTCTGGAAATACCTTCTCTAACCCCCATATGGTAACATGATCACCATGTCCCTGAGGGAGATTTGGGCTTGATTTAAAAGCCCTAAAACCTTGATGTGAGCCTTTTGGTGTTCAGTTCTGGGACTTTCTTTCACTGAAAGACAACTAAAAGATGTGCAGCAAAGACATAACAAGATACTGAGGAAACAAAGGGCAGAAACTAAGAGATGAATAAAGTTCAAGGAGGTAGACCAAGCTGCCTCAGCCTGAGATTTGGCTCATCCAGTTGGGGCAGCAGAGGTGGAACTGACCTTTGGGCAGCTCTCTAGGCTGAAGGACCAGGGGCCAAGGTATTTTTGTACAGAATGGATGCTCAATAGATATTTCTGAGTAAATGGATAGCATGATTTGAGCTTTGTTCTTTTTAGAGATAGATATTATAAATGATCATATAAATCATGATCTACCTTTAGACTGAAATAGAATTAAATGGAAGAGATCATACACAGGAAAGAATAGGCCCACTTGTAATATTAGTTAATGCTAGAAATGTAATGTAAACCTTGAAATAGAAGAGACTTAAGCAAAATTCTTTTTTCCCAAAAAGATTAAAACTTTTTGTTGTGAAAATTTGTTGTGAAAAGATATAAAAAAGTAGAGATAATAGCATAATTAAGCCCCATGTGCCCCTTACTCTGCATTAGCAGTCATCAACCTGTGGCCATCCTGAACCTGTCCATCTTATTTGGAAGCAGTTTTCTAGCACAATAGGATTTCACAAGTAAATATTTCAGATTACAGTTGGTTTTCATTATTCACAGTGGTTATGTTCTGTAAAGTACTGCACACAATGAATTAGTGAATATTGAATCTCTGCTCCTAGAGGATACGTAGGGTTAGGTTTCTGCGGGCCTTCTCAGCACAACATTTTCCTAGACCAGTCAATACATAATCCTGTTCAATGTGTGTTTCTCTTTAAACACAATATATTGCTGATTTCTTACCTTTGAGCTCGCGGTCAACAGCACTTTGACTCACGTCTAAATAAGGTTTATTTAACACACATATTTCCTCCACAAAGGCACATCACAGCTTAGAACAGGAGACAGCACTTGAGCACTGCACTAGGGGTCGTTGTAAACAATGAAATCACCAGCACAAAAACTCAAGAAGGGGACACTAAGTAAACCATGAAAGGGACACTTGTTACAGTATGAGAGCTGAGACAAGAAGTCAGAGCACTCCTTTGTTTGAGCTGAGCTGGAATATGTATGTTTCTCAATTCAAATGTTCTACCACTCTGCATGCACATGCCTGCAAGTGACCATAAATGGCTGCAAAGTATTGATTTTGGAGTTAGAAATAAATTTTAGAACACAGGTAAATTCACAAACACAGAATCTGCAAATAAGGAAAATTGACTCCATTTTTTGAAAGACTTTTAAAAACACAGCCACTACACACATCATATTTTTAAAGCTAATCATAATTCTTTAACGTCATTCAATGTCCATTCAATATTCAATTTCCAAAATGTCTCATAATTTTTAAAAATTTTATTTGTTCAAATCAGCATCTAAACAAGATCTGTATGTTACATAAAATGTCTTTTAATTTCTCTTGATATACAGGCTCCCCAGCTGTGATGTTTCCCTTTATTTGCTAGAGATTGTGTTTGCTAGAGAAACTCGAGTTTTTTTTTAATTTTTATTATTGGTTGTTCAAAACATTACATAGTTCTTGACATATCATATTTCATACAGTTGATTCAAGTGGGTTATGAACTCCCATTTTTACCCCGTATACAGATTGCAGAATCACATCGGTTACCACATCCACTGTTTTACATATTGCCATACTAGTGTCTGATGTGTTCTGCTGCCTTTCCTAGAGTTTTTTTTTCTTTCTTTCTCTCTCTCTCTTTTTATTTTTATTTTT